TAAGTGTCTACTCAATTTGGTTCCATTCCTGATCATTTAGACTGTTCTCTCTGCAAATGGCATCCCTAAAGGTCCTTAAGAAGTTTGTTATTCTTAGCATGATAATGTGATTAGTAAACAGTATTCTCAGTTAAAAACTTAGTATTAGGCTCAATATATTTCTTGTACATTCAAGATCTAGTTGGAGCAACTTTTTAAAAGAATGATAAATGGAAACTTTCTTTACCTGGCCCATCATTTGTTCTGTAGATTTAATGACATTCAGTACTATTACACTCACTGCCAGGGCCTTGAGGGGAAAAAAGAATATTTATACATTGAGTTATGGCTAGATGTAGGAGGGAAAAAAGAGAGATGGGCAGGAAGTCAGACTATACAGAACAGAGAAGAATTCGAGACCTTCACTACATACGGATTAATCACAGGAACTAACCACGCACATCCAAATGGGTATTTAGAAACCAGTGAAGCCTCTAGGATGTTCTGTGGGGAGCACCATATATTTTCTAATGCATGAGTATGTGCAAAAGGGTATGTAATTTATAATGGAAGTGTTGACAGAACTTTAGCTTTGGTGTTGCAAATGTGCTCCATAATACATTTACATGTGAGTAACACTTCACATATATGGACACATGTGTACCCAACGTATTTCTTTAGTTGGTATTATATCCAATAACTTAGGTGAATGGTTTCAATAAGGAATAAGCTGCAGTTTTGCTAATCTTACCATAGTTCAGCTTTGGGAACTGCATTACTATTAAATTGGTCAATGAAACTCTGGCAATATTAGTGCTATCAAGCATGAAAACTAACTGGATTTGGATCAGGGACCTTTATTTATAGCATTTTATTTAGGACTTATTAGTTTAAAGGCGCAGCTTTATGTCTCACAGGTTCTTAAATATTAAATAGAGTCAGAAGTCATGGGTTCCCTTCCAACAGCAACAATAAATACAAAAACCAAAAAACAGCAGATAATTTTACATTCATTTCCATTTCCTTATATTACTCAAAGATGCTTGATGAAGTAATAGCAAACCCTGTAAAGTTTTGAACCATACCATATAAACGGTTGCAGATGTGAAAAATCCTTAATAATATAGTTCACAGTTAATTAGAAGAGAAGTAAAAGATGATGACTTTATACTAACATGAAAAAAATCATTGAGCCTTTAAATATTGAATAAGCAAACATATATTTATGTTTTATTTGTTATTCTCATGTTATTTTTTATGCTCATACTACTTTCTGTCTTTTTTCATTTCCTTCTCATTTCTTTGGTAAAATTGTCATTACAGCCTGTTTTTGTCCCTAAATAGTACCTGCAAGTTTAGGATCAGATGAGTTTGCTGGGAGTCAAAATAGTTACAAGGGGAACATCATAATGGTTCATTTTTTCCCTCCCTGTTTTATTTGGAATTGAATTAGGAAATGAAAGTTTTTAGCAGTTTAATTCACTTCTCCATAAAGTTTATGGAGCAGCAACAGCTGGTTGAGTCCATGGCAGAAAAATCCAACTTCTAGTGGCCAAGCTATTGTTTTAGAATTAAGGGGGGAAACTCATTAACTGTTAATGAAAACACAGGGAATAAAAACAAATAGCACAGAAACCCTAGCAAATAATTACCTTACACCTAACACAAAGCTACTTTATCTTTCTGCTCCAACCCTAAGAAATCCCCAACTTATCACTCTGTGGAGCATGAATGAAATTGAGTTTGACTCTCAGGAAAGAACAATAGAGAAATATCCCCCTTATAGGCCCCTCAGCACAATACTCAGTGGAGAACCTGACATTGAATATACTAAGGAGTGTATCTAGCGCCCAATTCTTATGACACTTAGGATAGAGGAGCAAATTACCAGCTAATAGCAGGTGAACCCTTGATATAGTTCCCCCAGATCTTGTTTAGAAATACAAAGAGAAGGGACTGGAGGTAGTGGATGTGATGAATGGAGATATTGTGCGTTAAAATATATATGTCTGTATAGAAATATATTGATTCTGAATGAGTTGCAATGGGAAAGTGTGTCTCTAGTGGCAAGGGTTCTTGCTTGTGAGAAAGCCACTCTAAGCAGATGGAGTTCTGAACCCTAATTGGAGAGCTGCTGAGTGGAAATATCTGTCACTATAGCTTGTGATCATTTATGTCTGATCCCACTGGACTATAGTAGTGGCCACTTAGAACTGTGACTGTCAGAGCTGTAGATGAATCCAGAGATCACTCGTGGTTATGTTTTAACAAAAAATGATGTTATAAACTTAAATCCAAAATGACCACAGTAATTGCTGGTTCTTCTATAAAACTTTTCACCCATGCATCTTGAATAATTGTAATCATTTTAATTACACGGGAGTGTCTATTTATATGGTGTTAAAGACTTTTTTCAGTGTGTGTCCAAGGGAGTTGGGCCACTTGATATAACATTAAAAACACTTATAGCAACATTTCCATCATCAGGAACTAATTATGCTTGGATGTAAAAACGTATTTTCTAATGTTTCCCCCACCGCAACCATTTTTAGTACTGACTTCGGCTCTGTTTTTGCCGTGTTGAGTTGTTTACCTTTGTTGTTATATGCTATACTGAGGCGTGGTCTTGTATTTGGCTGTTAAAAGCCCACCTTGGGGAACTATGTTCAGAAACCATAGGAATCACATGGAAGTAACTTCCATCTGAAGTTACTAAATCAAATGCGGAATCTAGGCAGGTATTTTGGCTGAGACTTTTAAAATAGAAGCTTTAAAAAGCAATTGGAATAGATCCTGGAACAGGAAAAAAAAATTAATGGAAAAAGTGGGGAAATCCAAATTAAGTCTGTAGTTTAGTTAACAGTGATGTACCAATGTTAATTTCTTGGCTTTGACAGATATGCCCTAGTTACATATGGAGTTGACATTTGGGGAAACTGGATGAAGGGTCTACAGGAATTTTCTGTACTATCTTTGAAATACTTATAAAATGCTAAAATTATTCTGAAATAAACAGTTTATTAAAAAGCAACAAAGCAGAGCAAAGCCCTACCTGATCTGCTTACTAAAAAAAAAAAAAAAAAAGCCTGGGATGCTAGAATGTGTAAGAGTAGATTTGTCAAATTTCTGAAGCAAGCAGAAAACTGTGAGTCTAGAATGATAGTTGATAAATANAGTAAAATTAAAAAAAAAAAAAAAAAAAAAGCCTGGGATGCTAGAATGTGTAAGAGTAGATTTGTCAAATTTCTGAAGCAAGCAGAAAACTGTGAGTCTAGAATGATAGTTGATAAATAATGTTCAGTATCTCCTACAAATGTTAAATGTTGCACAGCAACCCAAGCTACCTCTGCTTTTTTTTTTTTTTTTTTAATGGAATTTGGTTTGGCTCAAAAATTTTAAATTGCTTTAACTTCACAGCTCACTTTCAGGTTACCTGCCAGGCAGTCTATTTAGATCACATTGATAATATAATTTCAATGGATTTGCAGTGATGCAAAGTTTGAGTAGTTTAACCTCAGTCCAGTATTTGAGAACTTTTCTTGTTATAATGGAAATTTCATAGTGATACTTGAAGCATAACCATGAGCTTTATATCCTGATCAGTAACCTAATAAAGGAGAGCATTTCTTCTGGCTCTAGCCAGTGACTTTTATATGAAGTGTTGTTTGTTTTTCTTTTTAACTTTACTTTCTTCTCCACAATAAACTCCACATTTTATTTCTAAAGTCCTATATGTGCAGGTGACCTACTCAGTTCTGAACATCTACCTACCATTGATCGTAGAAGAGTCTAGATATGATAACCTAATTTATGGAAGAAGAAGGCTACAGCCATTTTGTTTTTTCTTTTTTTAAGAATAGTTTCTTGATTTTCTTGATTTTTAGAGAGAAAGAAAGGGAGAGGGAGAGAGAAACATCCAAGTGAGAGTGCAGCATTGATAGGCTGTCTCCTGCACGCCCCCTACTGGGGATAGGGGATAGAGCTGGCAACCTAGGCATGTGCCCTTGACAAGGAAATTGAACCGCAACATCCCGGTGAATGGAAGGACGCCCAACTGAGCCACACCCGCCAGGGCTGCCATTCTGTTTTTATCTAACTTATTGGGGTGACATTGGTTAATAGAACCATGCAGGTTTCAAGTGTACTACTCAATGAAACATCATCTGCACACTGCATCGTGTGCTCAGCCATTCTCTTTTTATCCTTTTATATCCTCCCTATCCTTCTGGTTTAATTGTAGGAAATAAACCCTTAAAGTGAGCCAATACAGAGTCTGTGTATGTTGTTTGGTTTCACTGCTCCCTAGTTGGAATCCAGGGCCAAAACTCTACAGTGTTTACTGAAATTAACATTGGTGATTTCCTTTGGAAATTAGTATTTGAGATAATATTAAATTCAGTTGAAAATCCCCTTTTCATGTTTGTGAAATGAACTGAGCAGCTGTTGGTGTCCTTTTATCAGCAGACTGTACCTCCGTTTAGGGGAGTTTAAGGAAAGCCATTTGCAATGCAGAGCCTTTTCTTCCGGTTCCTGAACGAGCTAACATCTTCCGTCTGAACCTTTTAAAGTATCATAATAGCATGGACCACTTCTACAAAATATAATGCAATGTATGTTGAAAACACCCAAAAGAGATTAGCATTGTTTTAATTGCATAATTCAGTATTGTATATACATTACCTTTCATCAAAGCCATTTTACAGAACAAATATTACCTTCTTAGGGCTTTTAGAATTCCTAAGAGGTTGGTTGCATAGGCTGTAAACTAGAATTATAAAGAGAGAACTTTCTTAAGATTGCAAAGCAAGTAGTGATTTAAATTGGAATAGAATCCAGCAAAGTCTGGGTTCTCTATGTTTTTACCTCTCTTATTTTTCAGAACAGGAAAGCATGTTGACCTTGCTACATTGTATTATGAATGGAAGGTTAACGCTTTGTTTAATTTATTCTATTTCATTTGGAAATATAAAGAGAAAAAGGCATTCACAGTAAAGGTCATAATTAATGGAGACACAGTATATATGGATGCATATTTATATAGCTATATTTTCATTTTAAGTGTGGTAGAGAAACTTTTCTCTGGTGACAAGAGGCCTCTCCACTCTAAGCTGACAGTTACTAGTTCTAGTAAGAGAGTGGTTGAATGGAAAACTTCCCATGCAGGTAAGTTGGTTTTTGAACTTATTTATCTGTTTCTCATATGTTAATGGATAGTGGCCATGTCCATCAAGTAAAAGCTATATCTTTTTGTGTGAATACCAGAAGAAATATACAAAGACTTTTATAAAGATGCCCAAAGTATGACCTTACCTTTTTTGTTCCTCAGGGGGAGACCAAGCTGAAAATTACCTTGGACAGGACAGCTCTGATGATAATCACAGTGGAACTCTTGGCCCTTCTCTCACATCAGATGCACCTTTTTTGCCAGATTATCAGGATGAGGGTGAGTTTCATTTTTCTGGATTTTGGCTCACCATACTTTGTTACTTTTTGTCCTGGTGTCTTTGCCCTTTGTCATTTAACTCAAGCTGCCTTTGGTGGGTTCTCTGAATTGATAATCACTAGTTTGCAAAGAACAACTATTTGTTTCATTGTGGTGCTGGTCCTCCTGGGTAATTCAATACTTCTGAAGTTAATGTATTTAGGAAAACACTAATTCCATAGTGGAGCAGGAAGACATCATTATTGATCTTTTTATAAGGACTGTAGCTCAAAAGCTAAGAGGGCATTTTAAGATTGCAGGGCCCAATTTACCATTTTTTCAGATTTTTTAGCTTCACCGAGTTGCATGAAAATTAGAGCTTTCATTTAATGATTATTAGATTATTGATTTATTGTGGATTGTTTGAAAATTTTAAGCTCATCATATTATAATAAGATATCACTTTTACCCATGCTTTTTATATACCCGACCGACCATATTGGTGGTGTTCAATAGGAAGCCACAAGAACCATAGTGCAAATCTTCCTGGAGCATCAGTTTTACTTGAAGATTTAGGAATGGGAGGATTTAAATAATTCAACTGTTATAAATATTATTTTTATATTAAAACACATTGGTATGTAGTAGGATGGGATGCAAAATATACATGAATTTTTAAGACACATGAATATAAAAATTTTGGCTTGGTGGTTGCCAGTTTCTGGCTCAGAGTCAGATATCCCAAGGGTGGAGGTTCACTGTCTGCGCCTCTTCTGGCATCTGGCCACTTGAACAGAAGGTTTGATCATCACTGATGCACACGGTTATCTTATCAAAGTCTCTCTTGTGCCTTTCCAGTGGGGGAAAAAGGTAGAGATGCCACTAAACTGAATATTAAATTGGAAGCTTATTACTCACTTAGGGGTTAGGAGTAAAGTTGGTAAATTATTCTTTATTTCTCTTTATTAGTCTATAATCTTCCAATTTATTTTTCTTCCAAATTTCCCTACAACTTTGGCATTTTCCAAGAGTTCTTAATCTGTCTATTCCCTTCCCTTTTTAATTTATCCATGAATTCTTATTTCATTTAGCCCTTTTGGTGATTCATATTTTATCTCTTTCATTGAATTGATAACCTCCACATCAGAACTGTGGATTCAGTCACACAGAAACATCTTATTTTGCTTGAGCTTTGTAAACTAGCATAAGTTTTAGAAACTGGGCCTTGTAATGTGAGATCTGTATATTGGTTCAGGTATTATACTAAAAACACTATTTGGATTGAGAGCTTAATAATTATATTGGTAGCTGATTAATAATTGTAGAAAATTAACAGTGCAAAACATTTTTTAAAAAACCTTTCATTTGTTTTCTATTAATCTAATGCTTGACAGAATTAGAACAATAGTACCTCATTAATCCTTAAGTCACTTATTTGGTATTTCCAACTTTCCCAAACACAGCTGAAAACACAATAAGTAAGCCAGAAATACCTCTAAGTAGAAATAAATGTTCCTGAGTCCTGTGTTAACACTTATGTACCTTATCTTGAGAGAGCCCCTGAGGTCTTCACTGGGGATACCTCATCTTAGAAATTTCTAACCATTACAGTGTTTTGATTTCTCATACCACAGTGAGTGAAGCATCAAATTAGAAGAAGGGGCACTGTAAAGGCATAAATTGAGGTATAATCAAATTTAGCATTGAGATAAGAAATAGCATAGCATTGAGATAAGAAACAGAAAAACATTAAAAACTTATGTAGAAAACAAAATTTATAATTAAAGCTAAATTTATATAGAAACAAAAAAATAGCTGCCTGGGGCCATTTTGTATTGTAAAGAGAATACAGTACAATACTGAGCTCTCCTGTAAGAGCTCACCTTAATAAAGTGAATTTTTTTTTAGCATTTATTGAGCACTTACTATGTGCCTTGTATCTATGTTCTAAGCACTTTGCATATATCATTATTTAATTCTCAGAACAGCCCTAAGAGGTAGATATTAGGATTATCTTTATTTTACAGATAAGGAAACTGATACCAAGATAAGTTAACTTACCTACAATCACACAGCTAGTGAGTAGTTGTACCAGGATTTATACTTACACAGTCTAGTTCTAGAACTTCTGCTGATAACCACTCTATTATCCTTACTGTTATCCTTATCTGAGTTATCCAAAAAGATGGATTCATGTCCCAGACATTTTGGTTAAGACTGTTCAGATATACATGACATGTTTAAAAATATTTTCATTAAAAATCATTGAAGCCCAGCTGGGCGTGGCTCAGCGGTTGAGTGTCGACCTAGGATCCAGGCGATCAGGGTTCGATTCCCTGTCAGGGCACATGCCCGGGTTGCGGGCTAGGCAGCCAATCAATGACTCTCTCATCACTGATGTTTCTATCTCTCTCTCCCTCTCCTTTCCTCTCTTTGAAATCAATAAAGATATATTTTTTAAAAATCATTGAAATTTTTTAAAAAGTTAGTGTTGCCAGATAGCAGTATGGTGGTTGCCAGAGGGAAGGGGAGGGTAGGGTAGGGGAGGCCTAATATATGATGACGGAAGATGGTTTGACTTTGGGTGAGGGGCACGCAATGTACACTTGAAACCTATATGATCTTATTAACCAACGTACTCCAATAAATTTAATAAATTTTTTTCTTAAATGTAGTGTTGAAAATTTCCTATTATCTGGAAAACTCCAAAATGGGGAACTTTGTTCTATAGTGGTTTCCCATAACAGAGGCATTAACTATACATATTAGTAATATTAAATTCTTACTTAATAGATTTTTATGTTTAGTTTTGTGCATAGAAGTTAAAAGAATTCCCAAAGAGACAATCAGTGGTAGAGGTAAGAATAGATTTGTTTATGTGTTAAACGTTTAATTGTAGGATGATGAGATAATGTTGAAATATGAGTTTCTGCAAAGCATTGAACCTGGCATGTGCCTGAGTGCTTGATGCATAATGAACAAAAGAAATGTTTGTTTCCTTCCCCCGAAAAATAAAGATGTATACATTTTTGTAAATTTAAAGAGGTTAGAAAGATGTTAAAAATTTAAGTAAACTTATCCTGCTTAACTAGATTTTACCATTATAGAGAACAGTAATGCTTGACACACAACTTAGTCATTATTTTTACAAACACTTATTTAGAGATTATAAGGTAATATCAAGGCACTGCGCTAAGTTGTAAGTGAACTATGCAGTAAAAAGTCCCTCCCCTCATGGGGCTTACCCATGAGAAAACACACTGTGAATAAGTAAACAAATAAATATGAAGTCAGTGTCTTTAGTTGCTGGTGAGATAGCTAAGGCCATTCTTTAAAGAAAAAAAAGATGCTTTAACTTTCTTTGTAGTGCCATTATTTTAGGCTTTTGGAATTTTATCTTTATTAGATAATGAAAGGTCACTGTTAAAATATTTCATCTTGGTTGCCTTCCACCTCCAGCTAGTGCAGTGTTTGAAAGATACAATTATAAAAGGACACATGGTCTGACCCATCCACCCATAACTTCAGTGATGAGAAGCAGTAGCCATGGTGCCTGTCATTTGGGACATGCTTTTGTGAGAACTACAAAGAGATCTGGAAGAATATAGAAACTCGGCCAGGTGCACAGCAAAAAATGAAAACCAAGGTTACAGGCTAAACCATGCATAAAAATGAGAGCATGCTGCTACCTAGTCACAAGTCCTTCTTCTTTTCCTTTGTAAATGCCCTCAAACAAGCGCATAGCCCCACCATTGGGAATGAAAACTTGCTAACAAGTAATAACATTTAGATTTCTAAACCTGGGGAGGCACAGTTTCTACCATACTGAAGGAAAAAAATTTAGTATGAAATGCTGAATACAATAACTTTATAAGAGTTAACCAGTTACAAAGCCCAGGATCTGATTGCTTTCATGGTCCAAAATATATAATAGATTTTAGTGTGTCTATAAATTTAGTTTATTGGTATACTGAATAACCCCCTATGTACATACATTTTTTTAAAGACGGGATGGGGAAAGTGATCATTCTATAAACAGTATATAGTGACTCCTTCTGGAAGAAAAAGAAAAATTTTTATAAGAGATGAAACCTAAAATCTATAATATATTATTTATTGTGTGCTATGTATTATTACATTCTAATTAAGAAAAGGGAATGAATGGATATTAGACAGATATTTCCGGGAAGAAGTGGGAAAGAATGTTTTTAGAGCTTCTTTTAGATTAGAAAGTTGAAGGTTTAAAGAAGGTTACTATTCTCCAGAAAAATGAAAAATAGAATTGGAAAAGTAAAGACCCATAACCATCTTTGGAGAAGAGTAATAATGAATAAGTGAAGAGCCTGGTATTGATCAATTTATTATAGCTACTTGATTTAAAAGAAATTACAGACCTGTTAAAGCACCAATAGTGGCCCTTTTCAACTCCTTGCCTTTTTTGAAAGGTACAGTAAAAAGCATATAGAATATTTGAAAATAAAGAGAATAGGTTTTTTTACAGCTTTATTTTTCTCCACCACCCCCCCTTTTTTTTACATTTCTCTGCTTTCATTTGGTTGTAAAATAGAAGTCAGTTTTGGATTTAATATTATAACAGTAGACTAGCTTTTGTTGATTGTTGTGTGTTTTATTTCTATTATAATAATAGGAAGAAGGTATTATTTTAATATCTTTCCTAATGGGAGGAAGAATATATTTTAAACAAAACTATTTTAACATTGTGAAATAAAAATGAAGGTTTAAGTTCTTGATTAGATTTTTGTGGCTGGAATTCATGTTTGTCTTAAATTTCATTGTACCAAAGTTAGAATCATGGAATCTGGGAGTTGGAAGGAATGATAGTCATCTGGTATCAGGAACCATTTATTGAGCACTTACTATGCTGTACAAAGTGCTTTTTGTGGATTTTCTCATTTAATTTTCAAGCCATCTCAGAGAGGAAGTTACTGTTTTTCCCATTTTACAGATAAGGAAATTGAGGTTTAAAGAAATTCAGTGAGTTGGCAAAGGATGGCATATCT